GGGTGCGGGTGGGGGGGGGGGCAAATTTTGTCTTTGCCCCTAGGTGCATAACACCCTCACTACACCTCTGCTGGAAGGTGATGTGTCTGATCCTTTGGTGGGACGTGCGCTAGGATGTCTGGGTGGAAGCCAGAGGCTGGGTACTTTAAGAGAACTGTTTGGTTTGGACTCTGATTGACCAATAAGGTAACAGACACTGTCTTACCAGCTCTGGGGATTGGCTGTCCCATGTCTTGCAATGCACCCTACTTGAGAGACCTCAGCTGGCTCCCCTGGAATCCTGCTTCATAACCCCCCCTATAAATTGTTATAATTCCTCATGTCTCTCTGGCTTTTACTCTCCTGCCCAAAGTGCCTTGCTTTCAGGGCCCTTGTCGTTTTGGCCATAGAAGCACGAAGAACTAAAATAAATCCAAATCCTTCACAGACAGAACAATAGTTTCAATTCTATAATATTCGGGAAGTGGTAACAGGCCCATCCTAGCTGAGTCTATCAGCCTCAAACTCCCACCCTCCTTCATGTGTTCATCCAAGTCCCGTCCCCATGAGAGTCAGATCCCTGAATCGGAATTTTAAACTTTGTACAGGGATGTGTCTAATAAATGCCTACAAATCTACTAGGCACTCAAGTCCTTCATGGGCATGCCTTACTATGTGATCAGCCCCTTTTTCTCTGCCAGGCATGCCAGTGGGTTGCAGGAACAGCTGACTTTAACTTCAAAGTTAAATATTGTCCAAAGGAAACTGAAGTGGAAGTAAATAATCTACCCAGAAGTGCCCTTATGGAAAAACAGGACAGAATGCACTGCAGAGACAAGCACAGCTGTTTGGGTGTTGGCAGCTATTGGTAGCAACCTTTTCTCCAGGGGCATGAAACCTATCAGAACACTTCTTCCACAAGAAGACATTGCTGGCAGCTCAGAAGAAAGAGCCGGCTGTTGCTGAGTTTCTCCATTGTAAGTTGTTGGGGGGGTGAGAGGAGCCAAAGGACCCAGAAAACAGAGGCTGTACTGTGTCTGGATCTGTATCTAATCCTGCCGGCTATCAAAGATGGATGTAAATATCAGTACGTGATACAATAGTGCCTCCTGGTGCGGATGTTGTTGTTCTAAATCCAAGTGTTGGATCATCGTGCACAAAGTGCAGTTTTCTTTATTCACCCGATTTCGTTCTAAACGGTTTGTGATTTGCGCGGTGACGTGGCATTAGGTCAATACGCCGTGGATCATTGAGGCAGTGCTATTTCCTGAGGTGTCAATCTTTTTGGGACCCTAAACTGTGCGGACCTGGCTATTCTGTCAGACTGTGGAAGTCGGCAGCCATGGAGGATTCTTGCGGGATTGGCGCTCACATGGCATTTGGGTGCGTCTACACTACAAGGCTATTTTGGGATTCCAGAGGATACTCTGCATCTACACAAGCCGCCCATTATTTTGAAACATTTTTCGAAATAATGGGCGTGCTATTTCACCATCTCGGTAAAACTTGTTGCATGAGGAATAAGGGAGGACTCGAAATAGCGCTTTATTTCAAAATTTGGTGCTGTGTAGATGCGCCAAATTTCAAAATAAGCTATTTCAAAATAAGATGCAATTTGCATAGAGCAAATTCCATGTCTAATTTCGAGTTTAGGGTGCAGTGTAGACACACCCATTTGGGGGACCTACGTTCCCATCCCTGTTCTTAAACCAGGCAGAGCAGAGATTTGAACAGGAACCCACCCTGTGATTTTCATGTTATTTTTGCAGCCCAATGAATATTTATGTGTTTACACACCATGCAATGGCATGCACATGAGAGAATTGAACTTGAAAGGTGATTTTCATTTTACAGGGTCTGATGGGTCCCATTTTAATTTTTTTCTAACATGTTTTTGATGATTTTGAAATATTTTTCTGGTATTTTAGTGACTCCCACGGGATGGGGAGGGGGTCTTTCCTTTTTTCCTCTTTCCTCCCCACACTCAAGATTATTTCAGAACAGGGAACTGGGGAAGAAAGACAAATTTCAAAAATAAGCAAGGAGGAAAAAAAAGAGAGAACAGAGAATAAAATAAAATAAGACAAAGCAAACGGAAAAGGGAAAGCTGTTACAAAACAGCAAGAAAAAAAATGCAAATGCTGCAATGATTAGGTGACCGTATTGTGGCAAATAGTTTATAAAAGTCATTTCTTAACAATAAAGAAAAACCCTTGAAACATTTTGATCAGTCCTGCTATAAACATAGGCCCAGGTAATCAGCTGCTGCAAATCAGCATAGCCCAGTTCCCTTCCGCTTTCTTCCCACAAACCGTGTATTCTGCTTTGTACATCTGCCATTTCTACCCAAGAGCAAGACACTTGAAAAGCAAAGTTCACTGATCCATACTGAACAAGAAGTATCTTTGCCCCAGCTGATTCCAAGGGTTAGAACTCCATTGCCTAATGTGAGCCATGTTTAATTAATACGGAGTCGATGAAGTTTGATCTTACTGCTAATGTACCAAAGTGAGTTTGTTTAATCCCCCTAGGTGCCAGTTTGCTGGAACATGGCCGTGCGCTTGTTTGAGGCACGACAGCATGTAGAATTCTATCAGAAATACAGATTCTCTCCCGCTGAAAATCTGCAAAGGGTCATCTTCTCCTATCTGGAAGAAAAGGTAGGTGACTGTAATGGGCTGATTGGCATTAGGGCCACTGATGGCATGCACCCAGAACCATCCACTGCACAGTGTTGGTCCCAGTGTGTCCAGGATCATAACTCAGAATGCAACAGGGCACAGGCACTGTGCGATAGCTACCCATAGTGCATCGCTGTCAAAGTCAATGATAGCTAGCATAAGGGGAATGTGCTCCTTACACTGAATTCCTGTACACAGTGGGGACATGCATGGTTGACTTTACAAAATCGGGTTCCAAAAAATCGACCTTAATAAATTCAACCGCCTCAAAGTGTAGACAAGACCTGTTTCTGGCTCCTTCTCTGGCACAGCACTAATTAAGAAAGGGACACTGCGTTTTTCTACTTCCTGCTCCCCCAATCCACTTCTAGGAGGTGGAGTAAGCTTGGTCTGGCTCCGCCCACTCAGGCAGAGAGGGTGAATCCTCATCCTATTACTTGGAGGGAGGACACAACTGCTCCCTACAGTGACATAATGAGGTCATAGGTTAAGAATAGATTGTACCAATTCTACGGGGGAGAAGTCCTGTGGAACGCCATGGCAGCGAAACCAAGAGGGTATAACAGAAATTACTCTCTGCGCTCTGGGATTAGGATTGCGTATGGATATCAGGGTGCAAAGAGGACTCTGACTTGGCCCGCCAGAAGAATTTGCGGTCTGCATAGAATCATAGAATCCTAGGACTGGAAGGGACCTCGAGAGGCCATCGAGTCCAGTCCCCTGCCTCATGGCAGGACCAAATACTGTCTAGACCATCCCTGATAGACATTTATCTAACCTACTCTTCAATATCTCCAGAGATGGGGATTCCACAACCTCCCTGGGCAATTTAAGACGTGTCTGTTTTCTCCTCAGAAATTGGCACCCACGCGGCTGGCGGTGGACGTGGGCTGCGGGTCAGGACAAAGCACTCGCATCCTTGCAGCTCGTTTTGAGGAGGTGGTGGGAACAGACATCAGTGAGGCTCAGATCCAAGCAGCCAAAGAAGCGGCCTCCTTCCCAAATGTGTCCTACCGGTGAGTGTGACACACAGGGAGGCTTTCTCTATTGGGAGCTCCAGTTTGGCCGACCTGGGCTGACGCTCTTAGGCCAAACCTCTCTTCCGTTCCAAGGGAACAAAAATGTTAAATGTCAGATTTTCAACAGCGTGTTTCCTCTCCGCAGAGTCCACACGTGACAAGTTTTACGCACGTCAGGCTCTGGTGGAGATTCCTTGTTCCCCTCTAAACTGTCTCCCCTGTTTCCCTCTCCAGTGTGTGCCCTGCAGAGGAGCTGCCGTTTGAGGACGGCTCCGTGGACCTTGTTACTGCTTTTGCAGCTGCCCACTGGTTTGACATCCCGCGGTTCATGAAAGAAGTGGATCGAGTTCTCAGACCACACGGCTGCATGGCCCTTAGCACCTACTTTCCCAACTTCAGTGTGCACTACAAAGACTGCTCGGAAAGACTCACAGAAATCTTAACGGAGGTGGGAGAAGACATCTATCCTTTTTATTTTTTTAAACCACTGCATGCAGCATGACCTATATTGTATATTTTCAGGCTGCCAGACGTTTTTCAGACTACGCCCCTGTTTCCCACTACTTCTGACTTATAACTTTGGTGGGCCTTGACCATTTCCGTAAGATTGTCCATCCTGCCTGAATGCCACAGGCTGAATGATTTTTTTGTTTTTGAAAGTTTGAGCAAAACTCGAAACAGAGAGTAATAAGCTGCCTTTGCCCATTTAAAAACCAATTATTATGCCCATTGTGCTGAGAAGTCCTGGCTTTTTCTTGCTGGAGTGAGGCTTCGCATTTGAAGAAGAATTGTGTGTGGGCCATAGCTTCTGAATGTTTTCCCCCATGGGAAACCCAGCCAAGTTAAAGTCTGTAAAATTTCAGCTTCTTCTTGCCCACTACAGGTTTTAGTAGCTACAAGCTGAAAAGATTCCATCGGCAGCAAGTCTGCCCCAGCCCCTCACAGCTCCTCCGGACCACCCACAGGCTGTGATTGCATAAGGCCCCGTTCCTCCCCAGCAATACAGTAGCTCCCTACTGTTACCCAGTCTGGTGGCCATTTTGAGAACAGTATCTATCTCCCCTGGTTCATAGTGAGAGCAAGGCTACCAGGTGCCTCAACAGAGATGGCTGCTGTCTCCAGCCACTTGGTTGCCACAACATTCCTGTCAACCAAGCACAGGGGGTCCCCATCTTCCCTGAGGTGCCTTCATTCTGAAGTCGGCAGGGTTCAGTTTGATAAAGAGCATCTTCTCCAAGGTCAGCCTTATGGCGTGAGCCACTTCAGAACAATGGAAGATGCTATCTCTGCCATTTTGAAAGAGGGCAGTTTTTCATTGAATTCTCTGTAACACAACACTGCTAAGGACCGCCTCCCCACAGCAGAAGTAGACTCCATAATTTTTTGCTGTTTCTGTTCTCATTTTACAGACCCAGGACCTGCTTTTTGAATATGCAGATGAGAAAGTAAATCGTGTCATTGGGGAGTACAAAGAGGTGTTTGACTTGTCACCTTTCCAGGACAAGCGGAGGTGAGGAGACGAGGACAAAACTGAGTATTATGTAATCTCTGACATTGTGGGCTGTGTGAATCGAGTTATGTTGGGTGCTTGGGTGAGCATTCATTGAGGTTATCTGAGACTGGAGGCTGCAGAAGATAAATAGAATTTATGGGTAAATCATTGAGGCCAACTGGCTTCAAACAAACCTCTGTGCCGGGTCTGTGTGGTGCATCTTTGTGGCCTCTTCATCAAATTACAGTGGTTTCCCCATAACCAAATGTCCAAAAAGGGGAAAGTTCAGGCCTAACATCGTAATAATCAACATGGGCCAAGTTCTCAGCTAGTGTCAATCAGCACAGCTCCATTACCCTCTCTGCTTACTTCTGAAATGTTCCGGTTCCTTCCCTCTCCTGCAGAGTTACCCAGATCATAGACAAAATCCCCATGTCCGTGGCTGAGGTGATCGGGTTTTTGCAGTCTATGTCCATGTATCAAACCTTTCTGAGGAGCGACCCTGAAGCAGCAAAATCCCTCCTCCAAAAAACTGAAGAAAGGTAAAAACACTGTAAGAAATCCAGCACCATGTGGGCGGCTCTCTCGTGTGACACAGATGAAGTGTGAGGTCACCATAACTCCTCCAGCGCCGCGAGTGGCGGTAGGAAGATGAGTGGGGCGGCCATATTGTCTCTGGAGGAGGATTGTGAGCCACTGGCTTTTCATAGGCCAGGTCCTGAGCTGACTTAAATCAGATTAAAGCTCTATTGACTTCTATAGCACTGTGCCCTCTTCAACCAGCTAGGGATCTGGCCCAGTAATTCTGCCAGAATCCCCTACGTGCATTGCTGTCAGTGCTTGGTACTTCATACACTAGGCGGTTTAGCTAACTTCCCCCATCTGGTACTTGAGACTGAGTATTTCCTTCTGGGCCATGCTCAGGTTTGATTAGCAAAGGAATAAAATATTAAACCACAATCTCTTGGGCTGTACGGTCACTTCAGTCTGTGCGTACAAACCCAGTCACAGCAAAATGCACATGTGAGCAGCCTACTATATGGTCCATAGTTATGGTTAGTGACTGGCACAGGTAATGTGCCACAACTGCTTTAGAAATAGTAGCAGTTTTCTTCAGTTACGTTTTGCATATCAATTTTTTGGGTAAGAGTTGAGTGCTTTTAGTGGCGCAGGCATGTCTGTGACGCTATGAACTGGCTGTCACCTCTGGTAGGACATGAGTTTGTCTATATGGTGATAAAATAAGTGAACCTTCTGTGACGTAGTGGGGGTACCTGGCTGGTTTCTATGCTGCTGGCTCTGGGGTAACCCCCACTGGCTGCCGTGGGTACCACGACCCAGCAAAACTTCAGGGGAAAGATGCAGCGGTGAACCAGCTTTATTCACACCTCAAAGCCTTTGGGACAAAGCTGCAACTTTTCATAAGGCAGTTGTCACAAACACAGCCCAATACCATACATTTTTCAGCGTTGCAGGAAATAATGAACAGTTTTCCACAGGACAATATCAGTGCGCAAACGAGCAGGTATGCAGCAGACATTGCATCTCTGGCTGGGGAGTTTAAACGGCGCTTTCAGGACTTTGCAGCTATTGAAAAGGAGATCAGCCTTTTCTCCTCTCCATTCTCTGTTGACCCCGATGATGCTCCAGATCAGCTGCAGCTCGAGCTCATTGAGCTGCATTGTGACAGCGAGTTACGCAGTCGTCACCAACAGCTCTCTCTTGTGAACTTTTACCGCCAACTGGATAAGAGCCGGTTTCAAGAGATTCGAACATTGGCTAAGAAAATGCTGAGCTTGTTTGGCTCAACATATATGTGTGAGAAGACATTCTCTGCTATGAACTTTAACAAGAACCGCGTGAGGACAAGACTAAGTGACTCTCACCTGCGTGACATTTTGTGCATCAAAACCACTGCCTTTGAACCAGACCTAGTCTATGTGCTGCAGTCCAGATCTCAGTTTCGCCCTTCACATTAGTGTGTAGGCAAGTTTTTTTTTTCAGTTGAGATGAATACATTGTAAAATCTTAGTTAATGTCAGTTGGTCTAAATCAGTTATAAATATATTTGGACACAACATGTATAGTTGGTGTTATGTTCCTGTTCAAATTTTTTGAACTTAAAAGTTGATAATATGTAATGTACTTTACAATGTTCCTGACATATATTTCAGCTTCCTGGATTTTTTTTTCATCTGGCCTTCAGATATGAAAGGCAGAGTGATTTAACACCTGTTTAGATTTGTCATCCATGTGACGAAATGAAAAGTATGCCATTTGCAATAAACTTTGCATAAAATAGTTAATTTGCATTTAATTTTAATGGTTCAAAGAATGTCAGGCAAAATGGTCGGACCTCACGCATGTTCACTTCTTCAAATCTGGCCCTCTTTGAAAAAAGTTTGGACACCCCTGGCCTAGGGAAAGGGACTGGAGTTTAGGGGCCCAGTCTCCCCCATCTCAAGGGGGCCTGAGGCATCCTAGCCCAGCTCTGTGACCAGATTACATCTATGCTGTGCTGTATCCTGGAGAGGCAATAAACTTCCTCTATTACACCGGCTGGTGCAATCTGTTTGTGCCATTTCGGGGTGCAGGAGACGGGGCAACCCCATCGTGCCGTCACACCTTCCTTCATTTTTTGTTTCAGGTTTTTGGAGACCATGGGAGTTGGCTCTAAGGAAACCCAGGTAGAGATCTGGGTACCGTGTGTTTGTGTTCTAGGCTTCAAGGGGCCATGAATGGAAAATCCACTGATGACTCTCTAGCCAGAAGAAAACTCCCAGTTTCAGAATCTACTTATAACTGATGTTATCACCTTTAAAATGTTTGGTTAAAATGCCAGTGTAATCCCTGGCGGAATTTCCACCCTTCAAAGGGAGACAAGGGAGGCACAAAATCAAATCGTATCGGTATCAGAAGTGTTTTCATGGTGTGGTGATTTCCTATTTAAAGAGGAAAAGCTCTATATTCTGTCTGGCCATCAATAAACAGACGTGGGAAGAAATCACGGACCTTTGTCATATGGAAGGCTGCAAGCATTTTATCGTGTGTGGAATATGCAATAAACATCATGTGACCTACCGGGATAGATTTTCTGAGGGCTTTATTATCCTCCTGTGTAAATGTAGCTTGCAACAAGGCCCAGTAAATATGGAATTCCCTGTCAATGAGATAACCCTACCACATGATTGCTCTTGCTTATCACAACACTTCACAGGTGTCTTTCATCCAGGGTATTCAAGGAGTTTGAACAAGGAGATAAATATTACTCTGCACACTCCACAAAAAGTGAAGTAGAAAACAGCCAGTCCCAAGCCAATTACAGAAATTCTTCTTACGGGCCAGATTGTCAAAAGAACTCGGCTTCCAATTAGGCACTGAAATAACCGATGAGACTTTCTAGAAATCTCTGTGACCAGCTGCCAGCACCACCTGGATGGCCGACGCATAACACGGTTGAGTCCTGCCAATGAACCCGTGTGTTCAGAAGTTCCTTTGGTTTGTTTGTTGGACTGAGCGCTGTCACACCCCTTTGCTGTGTGTGTGTGCTTGTTGGCACAGCCTGCATTCTATCACACCCCTTTGCTAATTTTGTTTGCTTTGTTGGCACAACAGGAGTTTGCACTGCATGCTGTCACACCCCTTTGCTGTGTGTGTGTGCTTGTTGGCACAGCAGAAGTTTATCCTGCATGCTGCTCCTTTCTTTGTCTCTCAGCAGAGCGGGAGTTTGCCCTGCATGCTGCTGTCTTTTCTCTCTTTTGCTGCTTTACTGGTTTGAGTTGCTTGTGCATACAGCAGGCGTTGGCTGTCTGTCACTATCTTTCTCTCTCTTTCCATGTCCTACTTCTCGGGGAGGCATAGCAGGAGTTCTCAGCGCATGCTGGTAGATCCCTCCTTGATCTGCTTATTTGTGAGCCCCGCAAGAGTTTGCCCGGCATGTGGCTACCCCTCTCGCTCTTCTGCAGAAGCGCAGACTGCGCACTGCTGTGTCTTTTGCTGGCTTGCCTGCCTGTTAGTGCAGCAACAGCCATTTGCATTTCTGGTTATTTCTATATTGAGTCTTTAAATAGAAGTCTGGATTGTGGGAAGAAAATGTAATAGCTCCGACCCACACAGAGCAGTGGATGCTGCTTGTGAAGGACTTGTGTATCCTGTCTGGGGATTTTTGTGATAGTCAAAAATGTTCAGTAGAAAACACCTAAAAAACCTGTTGCCTTTCAGGGAAGGATCTTAACCTGCCATCCTCCCTCCCATTTGCCACAGAAACCTCCCTTTTTACAAATATTGTGCACAAATTCTGACCCAGTTCACAGATACAACAGGACCTTTCAGGCATCCGTACCATTTCAGATTTGGAAAATAAATTGGCTTGATACCTGGTGGTTTATATTCTATCCAGCCCAAGCAAAAAGGGGGCAGCAGCTGTATGGCTGCTATGGGAAGTGTGTCATGGCAGATGATCAGGAAACAGTCACCTCTGTTAATAAAATCAGATTAATCCAGAAGCAGAATGCTGGAAAGCTACTGCTGCAGGACTGCAGACCCTTTCGGATACATGCCACAAGGGAAAGGGGCCTGGAAGGTATCGTTACAGCAAAAGATAAAGTTAAAAATTGAAGCAAGTATGCAGGGCATAGTAAGAACATTAACCATGGAGCAGGGCAGGGCTCCTGCGAACCATAGCTGCTGTGAAAAACGCATTGAGCACTTCAAACAGAAACTGGGATTTGTAACCCAGCAGGTTGCTGCTGAGACGAAGGGCGAACGGGAAGGGAACTCCCGGAGTGATGTCCTCAACTGGGAGGACTCTCTAGAGGGCTCCAGTGAGGAATGGGTTGGGAATATCGGGGAAAATCCCAACACTGGCCTATGGGCTAAAGGTAGCACAAGAAAACACTACTATCCCTCCAGTTTCTGCTACTGACATACGAGTCATCGCCAAGGTGGGCACTTCACACGCAGCAGGTCATGCAAAGCATTCGCATCGTGGCAGGTGCTCCAGAAGAAAGCACTTTTCCATGTAGAGTATGTGGTATCTGGTTGGGAAAGCTGTTCGGTTCCGCATCGTTAGGAGGGCCAGTATGACCATGAGAGAGGAACGGAATAACAATCAAGGCCTAGCAACACCCGAGAGTCTCCTCTGGCATTCGTCAAACTTAATTCTATCAAGGGTTCCAAATGCCAATCGCACTGAATATTTCCAAAGCCGTCAAAATGACACTATCAAATAGATTTACTCTAAAATACTTGGCAGGGTTGAAATGCTTCCTTTCCCTGATGCATGTGTTCCTAAAGAGATGTCTCCATCTAACTGTCCAAGAAAGAAAAGAAACATTGTAAACGACCATTCTACTGGTCAGTTCTTAACATTCATTTGATTGGCTCTGTTTATTCAGCTGAAAAGGCAGCAGCCAATGGAATTGTCTGTACAGGCAGTCCCCGCATTACATGGATCCGACTTACATCGGATCCCTACTTACAAACGGGGTGAGGCAACCCTGCACTAGCTGCTTCCCCCCAGCAGACCAGGGAGACGCGGAGCGGCTTTTCTCAGTAGACACCTCAGCTTGAGAATAAAGGACTGAGGGAAGTGAGGTGTGGGAGAATAAAACTGAGCTCTGGAGAAATGTTTGGCTAGAGTTTCCCCTACAATATGTACCAGTTCCGACTTGCATACAAATTCAACTTAAGAACAAACCTACAGTCCCTATCTTGTACGTAACCCGGGGACTGCCTGTAGTCATGTTTCTAAAATAATAAATTGAGCCCATTTGACCCAGGCGCGCATATATCAAAGCTTCTAGGTTCAAAGACGGGCTCTTCCCAAGCTGGGGAAAGAATACAGCTAATTCATCCTCTATGACGTGATTTCTAAATTCTTTGGCAGGGAATCCATTTGTTTCAGGTGTCAGTGACATCCCCAGCTACAAGGTGCATTTCTTTTTTATTGCTACACAGTTTGGGGGGGGGCTTATTATATGCTAACTTGTGTCTGGCATGGCTTGCCAGGTGGAGACGTTTTTATCTGTGTGAAAGAAGGACATGCTTCGGGGTTGGAAAACAATTCACTGAAAAGGTTTTTCTCCGGGGGACTATGCCAGGGCAAATGATGATGATTCAACATTATCTTTTCCTCCTGTGGCCATTATCAGATAGAAATATTAGTCATCTAATGAAAATGTGGTATATGCCAGAAAGGGTAAACCAGCTCATAGGCTGACCAACCCAGGGTCGACCTTAAAAGACTGATTAGGAATCCTAGAACACTAGAACTGGAAGGGATCTCGCGAGATCATAGAGTCTAGTCCCCTGCCCTCACGGCAGGACCAAGCACCATCTAGATCATCCCTGACAGGTGTCTGTCCAACCTGCTCTTAAATATCTCCAGTGATGGAGATTCCACAACCTCCCTGGGCAATTTATTCCAGTGTTTAACCCCCCTGACAGGTAGGAAGTTTTTCCTAATGTCCAACCTAATCTCTCTTGCTGCAATTTAAGCCCATTGCTTCTGGTCCTCTGAAGAGGTGTAAATGGTAGTTGGGCAATTAAGTAGAGCTTTGAAATGCAAACTGGCATTGTTGGAGCGGAGGAGTACTAGGTGTTTGCTCAGGTCGTGTGATGTGAACAAACAGCCCTTTTTTTACTCTGGCTTGGATTCAAGATCAGAAGAGAATATTAACATTGATGGTGAAACTCGACTGAAGCAGTGTTATTGCCTGTATGCCTCTTGGAAGGCTGTGGTTAAGTGTATGTGAGCTGTGTAATGGATAAATTACCCAGTGTTAATTGCTTCGATGTCCAGGAGACAGACAGTCACATCAAAAGCCTATTGTGTTCTCCCCGGCTCCGAGGCTGCTGTGAAGGAGCAAAATCCCTTTGGATAGGCCCCTTTTTGTCTCATGCTTGGATGCTCCTGGCCAAAGCTGCAGGCCATAACAAATGAGATCCCAGGATATCCTGGTGCCCCTTTTGGAAGGGACGTTAGCTTAAAGTCTCCGATCTGCTTGAGGTTTCATACATGGGAAACCGAAGCCACAAGAACTGACGTCCCAGTCATTGGCTGGAATCACCCTGGATATGGATTTTGGCCTAGAACCATGAAATAAAGTTTGAGAACTTCTGCAATGACAGATGCACCATCTGTATGTGTCTGAGCTTCAAGATCTGGACGCGCATCTGTCTGTATACTGATCTTTACCCAACACTCTTTTTTAGGTATTGATACATTTCAGTTCAGTTAATAAGAATTGGCTCTAAGTGTGTATTTGGGAGAAGGTCTGAAATATGTATTGTCCTGGAAGGTAACGTGTCTGATCCTTTGAGATTGTTGGGGCTTTGACTGACGTATCTGGGTGGAAGTCTGACGCTGGGTATTTTAAGGGTCCTGTGTGGTTTGGATTCTTAGGGCACATCTACACTACGGGGAAGATCAACACTGCCATAATCGATCTTCCAGGGTACTTCCGGATACTCCTGCTCCTCACAAAAGCTGACAGGAGTGTTTGCTCCCATCAACTTCTTGCTGTGAGGACGGTGATTTAAGATACGTCGACTCCCGCCACGCAATTAACATAGCTGGAGTTGCGTATCTTAGGTCGACCTTCTGCTCCAGTGTAAACCAGGCCTCCTTGACCAATAAGTTAACACAGATGCTGTTTTGAGCTGGCTTGGTGACTATACATATTGGAAAAGCTACCAGTTCTAATATCCTTCAGTAGGTATATGAAGTGATATTGCCTCCCAAATGTAGCAAATGACAACTGGGGAAAAAAACCCCACTCTTCTAATCTTTCTTTCTAAAGAAAATGGAGCATGTTTTCCACCACATGCCAGGTTGTGAAGACTGGACATACAGAAGGTACTTAATTAAAAGCCCTAAATTTGGAACTAAAAAATGTCAGCCACTGGTTTTTTTATATACCCTGAACTTTTCAGAGCTTTATTTGCAAAAACTTTGAGGTAAGGGCAAAAAAAGTCAGTTGTC